TGGAGTATGTCAAGGAACAGATTATCCGGATGTTTCCGGATGAAACTGTGAGGCTGCAAAAAGATTTCGACACAGCCATCATGGAAGACATCGGGCTCCCTTCCGCCGCAGAGGTCGACGATGTAAGCATGGTCCCTGACAACGTACGTACTCATGCATGCGAATTGACATATTGATCACCATCAACATGAGCAGAAGCACGAACAGGAAGACGACATGTTCTCCAAGTACAAGGCATTGGAACGCCACCTTGAGTTCCTCGACATCCAAGAAGGTTACATCAAGGACGAAATGAAAAACCTCAAACGCGAGCTCATTCGAGCTAAGGAAGAAGTCAAGCGCATCCAATCTGTGCCGCTCGTCATCGGGCAGTTCTTGGAAATGGTCGACGCCAACTACGGCATCGTGGGTTCAACTGCCGGGTCCAACTACTACGTCCGCATCCTCAGGTGTGACGATTCGCATCAACATCCTCGTTGATTTCTCGTTATATGCAGTACACTGGACCGCGAGCGCTTGAAGCCGAACTCTTCCGTGGCTCTGCACCGCCATTCGCACGCGGTCGTCGCGATCTTGCCTCCTGAATCGGACTCGAGCATTCAAATGATGCAAATGGAAGAACGCCCTGATGTGTCGTACTCGGACATCGGTGGGATGGACATCCAGAAGCAGGAAGTGCGCGAAGCCGTTGAGCTTCCGCTCACCCACTTCGACTTGTACAAGCAGATTGGGATCGATCCTCCTCGTGGAGTGTTGATGTACGGTCCCCCCGGCACAGGCAAGACGATGTTGGCAAAAGCAGTTGCAAACGCCACGACTGCATCTTTCATCCGCGTCGTCGGGTCCGAGTTTGTGCAAAAGTACCTCGGGGAAGGGCCGCGCATGGTGCGCGATGTGTTTCGCCTCGCCAAGGAGAACTCGCCGTGCATTGTGTTTATCGACGAAGTGGACGCGATTGCCACCAAGCGTTTCGATGCCCAGACTGGCGCGGATCGTGAAGTCCAGCGCATCCTCCTCGAACTCCTGAACCAAATGGACGGGTTTGACCAGACCACCAACGTCAAGGTCATCATGGCGACGAATCGCGCTGACACGCTGGACCCGGCGCTTCTCCGACCGGGGCGTCTCGACCGCAAGATTGAGTTCCCACTTCCCGACCGCCGCCAAAAGCGCCTCATTTACCAAGCATGCACGGCCAAGATGAACCTAGGGGACGAAGTCGATTTGGAAGACTACGTGAACCGCCCCGAGAAGATCTCGTGCGCCGACATTGCGTCCATCTGCCAGGAAGCGGGCCTCCAGGCCGTGCGAAAGAACCGATACGTGATCTTGCCCAAGGACTTCGACAAGGGATACAAGAATGCGATCAAGCGCGCCGACACCACATTCGAATTTTACCATTAAATCCAGCCCCTGTCCATGGCGTTCGTGCATGTTGCATACAGGAACAAGCAATCCTGGAGCCACCCCGGTGATGGTGCCGACCAACTTCAAACACGTTGCTGCAGAGGCGACACCATTCACGCCATGCAACCCCCCTGGCCTGTGGAAGGAAGACATGGTCGTGCACATGTGTCATTGGACCTCAACAGCACTCGAACGGCATCAATTCGGATAGATCTGAGCGCTGTCTTGGGTCCGCACGACTTTGATAAAGTACGACGGCGGAAGGATGCCCTTGTCACCGATGCCTGCACATAGAAGGACGTTGTTGTCGGATCGATAGAATGGAATGCCGTCGGCAATGGCGGCGGCCACATTCACGTATATCTTGAGTTGTGCCGACGTTCGCATGCCACTGATGACGTCAGTGGAATACTCGCCTGCAGCAAAGTGGATATGATTTCGCGCCATACGACAAAGGCCGTTGAGTGCAATGGACTCCCAATGGCGAAGGTACGTTCCATGGATGCAGATCAACCCGTCAAGGGCTTCCTCGAGTGTTACTGGCACGAGGAGGTCAGTATCCTGCACCGCCTTGATCGTGTGCCCTTGATTCGCTCGGATGCGCCACTTAGATGAATCGGGGTCGCTCGTGTCCAACGCAAAGCGCTGTTTCTTGCAGTTCCGGACGACGCGTTGAATGTCGAGGAGGGTCGCGCCGTGGAGTTGACGCAGACCCAGCATGGACGTCAGTGGGATGTACCCGTCGCTTGAAATGGGAAGGTTGAGCTCGACAGCGCCGTGGCGAAGCACCCAGGTCATCGCTTTCGACAAACGGGTGTCGGCGGATGGGTCGGCGGACATGGCGCGGAGCTGTTACGGGGTGATCGAATAATGTGGTAGAGCCGCCCCAACAAATGCGGCTTGGGAATGATGGTAAATAATATTTCAAAACTCTGTCCATTTCCGAAATATCAATTCGGTCTACTATTGATTTGAAACCTGTTGGAAGCATTCGGCGTTGGGATGAGGTCGACTTCGAGACTCGCCGTGCCGCCGTACGTCAAGGTCGCTGTAGCCACGACCCTTGTTGCCGTCGGAGGTGCGATGTGCTTCCCCATGTGCATTGCATTGTCGAATGACTCCATGCAGGTCTTGTTGTGACGCACATTGACACGGTCCCCCAAACTGGACGAAAGCGCTTGATGTTTCTCAACCCCGGTGAGTCCACGGATGAATTCCCGACGTGTGGAGGTTATGACGCTATGATACAGTGATGGAGCGTGAACTGGGGGAGCAAACGTTCAAAGCGGTCTTGGCTGAACATGGCGGGCGCATCTTACCGCGAACCCATCCCGTAGCGATGTGTTTGTTCCGTCGCAATCTGCATGCTACCAACGTCACATGCATGTAGAAGGCAAAAATGGTGGACTACGTGGGTCGGCGCATCGCTCTCGCTGCCAAGCAGGACGACTTCAAGTGGGAATTCGTCGTGATAGATTCCCCCGAGGCGAATGCGTTTTGCATTCCCGGCGGCAAAGTCTGCGTCTTCACGGGCATTTTCAAGGTCACGATATCAATTCCGAACACACGTATCCTAACAAGGTTGCTCGCAGACCCTGCGCAACGAAGACAGCCTAGCGTCTGTGATGGGCCACGAAATCGCCCATGCCATTGCTCGTTTGTCCTCCCTTGACGTGATGAGAGTTTTTCTAACTGAGGTACCAGGACATAGCGCCGAGCAAATGTCCATTAGCGCGGCGCTCTTTCCCTTTCTTCTCCTTCTTCCCCCCGAGACCTTCCATCTCGCTCGATTGGTACGTTCATGAGAAGACATCGATCGACCGACCCTGTGATTTGTAGGCGTTCAATTTGGGGGTGAATCTCCCATTCTCACGCAAACACGAGCTAGAAGCAGATGCCATTGGGTACACGATCTCGTCGCAATGAAGCGCGTCGTTATTTGATCGTGCCAGACTCGATCTGATGGCGAAGGCATGCTTCGACCCGCGCGCGAGTCCTCAGGTCCGTCCATGGATGGCGACGGTTGATAGCTCATTGAGTCTTGCAGATGTTTGAGGACTGGGAGAAGCAGCACTTGGGCAGCTCCCTCACGTACTTCTCGACCCACCCACCCAATGCTGAACGCTACACCCGGTTGAGGTACATGCCACCGAGCCAAACCCGGCTCAGCCTGTGTCACTGTGGCGACAGGGAGAGGATGAAGGAGCCGCTGGCATACTACAAGCAGTACTGCGTCGACCGGCAGAGCCATTTCCGTCGGCACATTTAAAGCAACAGACCAACTATCGCCAACGACTGCTTCCTACCGCCAGCACCGTGTCGGCAGCGGCCGCGCTGCCGTCGACCTCCCAGTTGGATGGCAATTCAATCTTGATATTTTCCATTGTGGAGGAATTTTGAAATATTTGAATCAACCTCATAGAACCGAGACATCGAATTGCATCGTTTCGACCATGCTCTCGATAGGTTTTCGTTCGTTTTGGCGTGTGGTATATAAGCACATACAATTTTCAACACCAAGATGCATATGGTATGCAGTATTCGACACGTGACAACATCGGGCGCCCCACCGAACAATACCGGATACATTATCCGGAGTGTCTCCCCCTGTGGCTGTTATTCCCGACAACTTGTGGCTGAAGCGAAGTCGTTGCGGAAGTGGCGCGGCCGATGGTGTCGTTCGCATCCCCTCTGTTCTGGCAGATCCATTACCTCGTCACGAACCTAAGCAAGAAAAACTTCAAGACGAATGTCGCCGAGTTGAACCAGGTACGGCACGTCGTCTGCCCGACGCGTCCTCACTTTTGTAGCTGGTCGGGCTCTACGGCGAAGACGCTCGCGTGTTCCTCTTGAGCTGCCTCGTGCAGGAGATCGACTTTCGCGACACCAAGAGTCACAAGGACTCATTGAAAGTGCAGCTTCTCACGCACGAACTCGGCCAAGCGTCGACGCGGCCCAACTTTACCACGTTTTTGTGCCATGCAATCGACGGCGCCAACGCGTCGACGCCCATTACGGAAGAGTTCCTGACTCAATTCTGTAAAGTGATTAAGCTCAATCTCGCGCAGCAGATCACGATCGGCCTGTCGTTTGCGCAGTCTGAAGTCCGCGGCGTCGCCTTGGAGGCGATCGCGTTCCTCAAGCTCAAACTGCCCGAGTTGAGCCTGGCAGGTTCGAAGCTTCCCCCGGACGTTCTGCATTCGCTCGTATTCTTGTTGCGCACTGAAGACGCTTTCCAAGCCGACTTGGCGCAGACCGACTCGTTCCTCGCCGGCATTGCCGCCGTCCATCCCAACGAAATGTCGAGCCTCGAGATGAAACCGCTCACCCTTGGCAACTTGGATCACGTGGACTGCATGTCTACATCGCCGCCTCTCCTGGACGCGCTCATGGACGATGTTGTCGCGGGCTGTTCTTTCTACGAGCTCATGGAAGACGTCGGGTACGGCTGCACGGCCAACCCCAAGGTGTTTCGCAGCTTGCTCGCCGAAGCCGGCCTGGACAACTCGCCCTCGATCGCACCGGGCCAGGTAGCGGGTATGCTGTCGATGCTCACTCGTACGTACAAGGGCCACCAGGCAAGCGTGGAGCTCGGGGCGGTCTTACTCTCCAACTTGCCGAGCTACGAAGGCAGCGTCGAGAATCTGCAGCCGAAGCTGGACACGTGGAATATCGATGTCATTGCTGAAGTGTTCCAAAAGGACTATCCGTCGATCAAGTGGCTGAAGGTCCAGGAAAAGCTCGATCGGGAAGACCTGGTCATCGACTCGCCAGGACGGTTCCGCGTCCTCTTGAGCTGCTTCCAGGCCATCTCCCGCACCAAGTTCAAGCTCCAGACGTTGTTTCGGCCATGGAAGTACAAGATGGTGCAGGTCAACGTGGTCAAGGCCGCGATCCAGTCCCCGCCGGACGTGCTCAGTTTCGCCGACAGCGTCAACAAGCTGAGCCCGTTTGAGGGCGCCGACGCGTCGGGCGTCCCAAAGAACGGCGTGTGGTTCTCGTTGGACGTGGTCGAGACGCTCGTGTCGCTCTCGGAATCGGACGGGTATGCGATCGTCAAGGACCTGTTTGACACGGCCAAGTCGCAGTGCCCAGACGTCCTCATCGCGAATGTTGCGCATGCCACGTCCCGATGGAACGGTCTCAAGGAAGACTTGTTTTGCGACCTCTTTCTCCTGTACGTGGTGGGCAATCGCCCGAACGCGGCGCTCATTGTGCGTCATTTGTACTGTGTCGCGCCCAAGCTCGTGCTGTACGCATGCGTCAAGGTCTGGCTTACGAGCGCCAATACTGCGAACGGGCCGCATGTGCTCGGTCGGCTCTTTTCGCTGCTCAAGAGCACCAGCGATGCGTACGTTGCGATGCTGCACTCCAACTATTACTCGTTGGCGATCACGATGGCCATCGTTGGTGCCAACCATGACGTCCTTGGCCTCGAATCGTGGCTCGTCGACAGGTTGAAGAAGGCGCTGCTCCCGTTTGCCACGAGCTTGGTTGCGTACTTGCACCGGAATGCGAGCCGCGCGATCCCCAAGGCGCAACTGACCCCGGCCACGAGCCACGTGTTCACGTTGGAGTCGCTGGGGGTCGTTGCCAAGTGTCTGCTGCACTTGGTCACGCTGCCGCCGTATTTGGTGGCCGAAGTCAAGGCGATCGTGATGAAGGCGGCGCCGCCCAAGGATGAAATGCAACCATCGCCGCAGCAACAGCGTGAGTTGCCGCCACCCTCGTCGACGACCGCTTCGGCCAGTCCACCGCCGCCATCCAATGCCGTCACCGTCGAAATGATTGAAGAGCAAGCCAACGCGTACTTTCAGCAAATTTACACGAGCGAGCAAAACATCAACGACGTGGTCGCCATGCTCAAGCGATTTCAGTCGTCGAAAGACGAAACGGAGCGCCAGATCTTTGTGTGCATGATTCACAACTTGTTTGACGAGTATCGCTTCTTTCCGCGGTACCCCGAGACGGAGCTTCGGATCACGGGCGTCCTCTTTGGCAAACTCATCGAGCACCAAGTCCTTCCGTCCACATTTCTTCAAACGGCGCTTCGCCTCGTCTTGGAGAGTCTGCGCGAACCCCCGGCGTCGAAATTTTTCTTTTTTGGCGCGTGCGCACTGCAGCAGTTTGTCCCGCGGCTGCGCGAATTGCCCGCGTACTGCATGAACTTGACCCAGATTGCGCATTTGCAGCACGCCCTGCCTGAAATCATGCGCCAGGTCCACCAGGTTACGCGCAGCTTGGACCCGTCGGCGACCAATGTCGCGACTGGAGCTCCTGCGACGCCCGCGGCCGTCCAAGTGACTATCCCCACCACGGCACCGGCGAGCCCGAAGAAGCAACCTGCGACCTCGCCCAAGATCCTTGCGACCCCCGTCGCGGCGCCCGCCATCATGGACGTCCGCCACATTTTTAGCCAAGAGTCGATCGAACAAGTCACCGACATTGTCGAGCCGGAAGCGTCGATCGTGGACCGTCTGCACTTTATCGTGAACAACATGAGCATCTCGACGCTGGAAGGCAAGCTCGCCGAAGTCCGCCACCTTCTCGCCCCCGACTACTTTGTCTGGTTTGCCCAGTACTTGGTCGGCAAACGCATTGCGACCCAGCCCAACTACCACACGGTCTACCTCATCTTTATGGAAAAGATCAACCAGCCCCACCTCGAGCACGCGATCTTCAAGACCGCGCTCCAGCACGTGCACAAGCTGCTCACGTCCGGCACGATCACGACCAACTCGCAGCAACGATCGCTACTCAAGAACCTCGGTTCGTGGATGGGGCTGATGACGCTCGGTCGCAACAAGGCGCTGCTCCAGCGCGATTTGGACCTGAAGGAGCTGCTGTACGTCGGATACGAGACGGGCCACCTCATTGCGGTCACGCCGCTCGTTGCCAAAATCCTCGAAGGTTGCAAAAAGTCGAGAGTGTTCAAGCCTCCCAACCCGTGGATCATGGGGCTCATCCACGCCATGTCAGAGCTGTACAACGTGCCGGACCTCAAGCTCAACTTGAAATTCGAGATCGAAGTCCTGTTCAAGTCGTTCAAACTCAACGTCGAGGACCAACTCAAGGCGAACCTCCTCCACACGCGCCGCCCGCCTCCTCGCAATGGCAACCCGGACTTCAATATCAAGGTCGACAAGGTCGTTGTACCGATCGAAGCCAAGGCGCTGCTGCAGCAGCAAGCGTCGTCAGCCAAGCCGTCGACGCCGAAAACCCCCCCTGTCAAGGTGCCTGCACCCGTCACCGTGTCCGAGTCGACGGTCATCCCGAACTTGGCATCGTACGTGTCGGTAAACCCGGACCTCCCCCTTCACCACGTAAACCTGCGCCGCCTTGTGCCGCTCGCCGTGGATCGCGCGATCCGCGAGGTCATTACGCCCGTCGTCGAGCGCAGCGTCACCATAGCGTGCATAACGACGCGCGAGATCATTCTCAAGGATTTTGCGACGGAAGGCGAAGATGCCAAGATGCGCAAGGCAGCGCACGTGATGGTGTCATCGCTGGCGGGGTCGCTAGCGCTGATCACGGCCAAGGAGCCGCTTCGGAACTCGATCGCGTCGCATTTGCGCGCGCTGCTCCCGACCAGCGAGCCGCATCAAGTCGACCACGTTGTCACGGTGTGCTCGAGCGAAAACACCGACTTGGGATGCATGCTCATTGAAAAGGCGTCGTCGGAGAAGGCGATGCGCGACATTGACGAGGCGCTCGCGCCTGCCTATGCTGCCCGCCGCCGCGGCTCCCGCGACCTGGTGCATCCTCAGGTGTTTGAAGGGAGCATGTCGCCGCCAGCCACGCTTCCACCCATCTTCCAACCGTCGGCGAACGGCATCCTGCCCTTGCAATGGATGGTGTACGACGCATTCCAGCGCATTCCCCGACCGACGACTCTCAACACGAACGAGTCGGCGAGTGCCAACGCTGCCGCGACCACCGCGGCCGGCCTGAACGTGCAACAAGCGCTCGAGCGCTTTGCGTCGCTCATGGAGAAGTTTGAGGTGTTTGTGCAGCACGTTGTTCGCCAGGCGACGGCTGCGCAGCGCGACTTGCCGCCGTTGATGTCGCTTCCGCAAGAGAGCGACGTGTTTATCATCCTGCGCGACGTCCGGTCGCTCGGCCAGGCCGTCAAGGTCGGGCTACGAGAAGAAGCATGCCTCAAGCTCGCGAATCGCATCGTCAAGTGCATGTACGAACTCGGCAAAGGGCGCGGCGACGAGCTCTTTCTCGACATCCTCGTGAGTTCGCTCGACATGCTTGCCGCGTCGTGCGACGTGCTCAAGAAGGAAGTCGTCCGGTGGATCTTGTCGATGCCGGTCGAAGACAAGCTCAAGCTGCACTGCGAAATCATCATTGCGCTCGTGCGACTCAAAGTGGTCGACGTGATCGAGTTTGACCAGTACTTGACGCGCAACATGGAGCGCACGGGCCTCGCGATTGAGTTTGCCGTGTACGTGGTCCGGCAGTGTTTGTTTTTGGACCACGTGAACCTACTCAAGCAGCTGCCGCAGACGCTGGACGCGCTCGAGCGCATTGTGGACCGGCACGGCGGCAACCCGAGCAACAAGAACATTGTGATTTTGTCCAACTTGCTCGATCAAGCCAAGAAGCAGCAGCAGCTGAAGAAAGGACCGTCGCCGCCGCCGCCGCTGGCGAAAGGAGGCGTCGAGCAGGCGGCCGCCGCGTTTCGACACACGGTGAGCAACGCGATGGAGCACTGGGTCGCGCTGGTCACCGATCCTGGCACGAACCACAGCAAGATGCACATTCAATTTCTCGCGATGCTGAAACAATTTGGTCTTCTCAAAGACGAAGACACGATGGGGCTGTTTTTCAAGTGCGCCGTGGAAATTTGCGTCGACGTGTGTTTGAAAACTGCCTACTCGAAGCCGTGCGCGGGAAAAAAGGTCGCGCTCCAGTACAACGTGATCGATGCGCTCACGCAGCTCATGGTCGTCCTGATCAAGTACTTGGACCCGCAAGCGTCGACCAAGGTCCTGACCGCCGCGATCGGCGCGATCGTCCATGTCGTGCTGCTCTTTCACGACCAAGCTGTGAAGAAGAAGGGCGTGTTTGACCAGCGCGTGTATTTCCGCGTGTTTGTGAACCTCCTCAAGGACTTGACGGCGCCGGAACCGCTGCTGGATGCGATGCAACTGGTCGTTCTCAACACGTTTGCTGGCGCGCTCAACACGCTCCAGCCTGCCAACGTCCCTGCGTTTGTGTTTGCATGGACAGAGCTCGTCAGCCATCGGTGCTTCATGCCGCTGCTTTTGCGCGCCCGGCAGCAGCGCGGGTGGCAGATCCTCCACCGCCTCCTCATGAGCTTGCTCGTGTTTCTCGAACCGTTTCTCCGCCTCTCGATCGACGACCCGTCCATCGCGGCGCTGTACAAGGGCACGATGCGCGTCGTCCTTGTGCTTCTCCATGACTATCCCGACTTTTTGAGTGAGTTTTACACGTCGTTTTGCGATATCTTGCCACCGACGTGTGTTCAGCTTCGCAACGTGATCTTGAGCGCGTTTTCCCGGTCGATGCGGCTCCCGGACCCGCTCACGCCCGGCCTCCAAGTGTCCCAACTGCCTGAAGTGAGCATGGCGCCGCGCCTCATGCCGTCGTGGGGCGCCGCGCTCGCGCACAACAACATGAAGGAATACCTGGACGAGTTTTTGCGCGCGCCGTCGAATCGCGCGTCTGTGTTTCCGCACGACTTGATCGCGAAGCTCCACACAAACAACGCGTCGGCAGAGTCGACGTATGCCGTGCCCGCGCTGAATGCAGTCGTGCTGTACCTGGGCAAAGAAGCCATCGCAGACATGTCGACCGCCGACGGGACCAAACAGTTTGACCAGTCGGCGAGCATGGACGTGTTTCGATTTCTCGCCGACGAATTCGACGTTGAAGGACGGTACTTGTACCTGTCGGCGATGGCAAACCACCTCCGGTACCCCAACACGGACACGCACTACTTTAGCTGCGTCCTGCTCTACCTCTTCTCCAACTCGACCCACGCGATCGTGAAGGAGCAGATCACGCGCGTCCTCCTCGAGCGATTGATTGCCAACCGCCCGCATCCGTGGGGCCTCCTCGTCACGTTCATCGAACTCATTCGCAACCCAAGCTACAAGTTTTGGGAGCAGGACTACCTCAACTGCTCGGCGCAGATCCGCGATGTCTTTGACGACGTCGCAAGGACGTGCATGGTCCCGATTCCCCCGCGCACAAACGCCGCCGACGCGTAACCGCGTAACCGTGAAACGAGTACACACCAT